GACATCATGAAAACCCTGAAAACTTCTATTACTTTTATTATCACTGACATATTCTTTTTAAATATAATATCCGATATCTGACAAATATCCAATATTTAGTCAAATATCAGTAATAAAAGTTTTCTGAATATTCAGACCATGATGTAAGTCATTTCAATACAAAATTTCAATCGCATATATTGCAAGAAAACCAGATAGTAGCTGAATATCCAGTTTCCCTAATTCTCTTAGTAGAGTTTCAATTGCACCTTTCAATTGCATATATATTATATAAATGATATTAGACAAAATTTTCTTCCCATTTTATTTTTCAAAATTATCATCTGTTCTCACACAAAACAGCAACATCTTTCTTCCTTATTCTCATTCTGCAATATTTAACAGTCAGTATATATAGATATATATAGATATATATGATAAAAAAAAGTTGCGTAACGATAATGCAATGACATCAAATTGATATTAAAAGTTTCAGAACTAGAATATTGATTAATTTTCAAATTTCTAAGTTACATAAATTTTCTCCTGCAATATTTTTTAAACAATCAAAAGATATTCTGTTAGAAGAATAGGATAGTATTGCACTGTAGTTTGCAGTTGCTACACTATTCAAGCACGAGCCTATTCCAATAAAAATAGAATCTGTATTAAAGACAAACATGAGCCAACTTCTTATTAATAAAACAAATAAGTAACATATTTTTAAAATGTTGATACATATTATTTCGCCTATTCGTTGTAGATTCATAAAAAGCGTTCCTGTATCAGGAGATAACTGTTACCTTTTTCGAAATTTTCCGGAATCCTCACTAGTTCCACTTTGGCTAGATTTGCTGAGTCAAAGTTGTTAAGAAACACAAAGCCACCACAAGTAATGTTTTCGGCCGTGCTCGCCATGACGCATCAGAGAGTTACGTCTATTGTCGAAAGACGAGACACAGATGACAACAAATTGCTGGTTCATGTGATATTGTTGTACATCCGCTTGTGGAAAGCAAAGCGCGATATAATTGTTGTTCGACTTTTCTCAGATATGATTGCGCTCGTTTAGCGACAGCATCTTCTTCGTTCTTGCTGAGTGAATCGATGAAATCTGATCGGATAGTTTTCTCAAATAATCATATGATCTCTATTTATGCTGTCGGCCATACACATACTGGGGTGTCATGCGCAAGAGGCTACAATTCTCAAGCTGTGATATGTATAAATAACAAGATCGGTTCATCCTTAGGCTCAAGAAATGTCGAAAATATAATTTTCTCTACTTTAAAAGATTTTCGATCATCCTGTCACGAACGAATGAATAAAGTTTTTAATGCAGCTACAGTTTACCGTACTAGCAGATGAACATTTTATTCAGAATTTTTATATGATAATTGAAACACTTTGCACGCGCGCGCGCGCGCGCGACACAACACACACACACACACACACACACACACACACACACACCAATTTAGAAAAGTTTGCATCTTTTCTTTAGAATTTCTTTCTTCTAGAATTTTTGATAAATGTGAATTCTGAAATAAGATTTCTAATGCTGTAATTTCTGATGAAATAATCTTGTAAAATTTGATAAAATGTGAGATATTTTTTTAAGAAGTTTTTAAATAAATAAAATTTTTAAATAAAATGAAAAAAAATCTTAAAATTTAAGATATTTTTATTTTTTAAATACATCTATGTGCATAATATAATATATCTAATATATCTAAACAAAATGTTACAAAAATTAAAAAATACTCTAAATTAAACAAATTTTTTAATTTTATTAGAAATTTTAAAAATATCTTATTAATTTCAGAATTTACATATATAAAAAGAATTCTAGAAAAAAATGTTAGACTTTTCTAAAGTAAATTCAATTAAAAAAAAAAACAGAAATTTTCTAAAACATAAAATTATTTAAAAGTTCTGAAAAATTACATGAAAAATTCAAAGAAAAATTTTCACCGCAATGACATGTCATCCACGGAGTAAAGCCGGTTCTACATTAGCTAATCTGAAGCTTGCATTTTGAAATCAATACTTCAAATTGGCTGTCGCAACAAATTTGCGATCGGCTTGCAACTAGGGATTGATTGTATCTTCAAATTTACTAGATGTTGACTAATTAAATAATCAGTATTTTAGTAACTTCGCTCACTTTTATAATTTTGATCTCATTTCAAGATATAGAATCGATTCCCTAACATAGAACCAGCTTAATAAGATCAACCACGTCATCTCTCATGTGACTACCAACTGTGAAACGCGAATATGGAGCAGTATTCATAGTCCGTTTTTATTTTAAAATCGTCTTAGGGTGAAATCACACGGTCCGGAATAGGATTATGCGGAATGCGTCATTGAAGCAACTAATCAGCGCTATTCCGCATTTAATGTTGCAGATTAGCGAATGTGTCATTGTTCTTGTAATAAACTGTCACATTTTGAGAGATTAAAATAATTTGATGCTGAATGATATGATGGAATTGCATAATGTCGAGACGAATGAAACAAAATGACAACAGGTTTTAGATCGGAATCAGACTATGCATTGAAGATTGAGATTGATGATTAAAGATTGAAATTTCAAATTCAAGAATTAATTCAAGAAGTTTCAACGAGCAGAAAGAAATTTGGCTTCTTTTGTTCTAATTGATCAAACTTCAATCTTTCAATCTTCAATCTCATTCTTCAATGCGTAGTCTGATTCCAGTCTTACAACACCTCTTGTAGATCGACGATATGACGAACTAAGATGTCGTAAGTCAATCCGAGAACTGCATTAACATCTTAAGACATTATATTTAAAGGCCAATTGTTTCACTTTTTGATAAATTTTACCTGTGAGATAAATTTGATAAATCACGCATATAATTGGATAATGCTTGCTACTTACCCAATAGGTAAAATTTACCAACAGGTGGAACAACCGACCCTGAGGATGAAATCACATGGTCCGGAATAGGACTGCGGAATACAGAATGCGTCAATGTCAGTATCGCAGCCAATACGATAGCAAGATTCTAATTCAGCTAACAATCCAACAAAACAACAACTTAAAACAGACTTAAAACTTGCAGCACATGCTTGTTTTCCTTTTGAATTGTTAGTTGGAGTAATTGAATTAGAATCTTGCTATCATATTAGCTTGCTACCATATATGCTGTTGCAGTAAGATTCTAATCCAGCTAGGAATCAGCAGAAAACAAGTATCGTGTGGCATAAGTTTGAGAGAGAGAGAGAGAGAGAGAGAGAGAGAGAGAGAGAGAGAGAGAGAGAGAGAGAGAGAAAGAGAGAGAGAGACGCTTGCAAATTGAACACAACTGAATACATAGATTTGTTCATGTCGCACACTGCAACATGCTCCAATTAAGGTTGTCGCGTCGCATGCTCTAACATGATCCAATGTGCTTCTATCATAGCTCCTACTCATTCCAATGCATTTATTAGAGTGAGGAATTATGGCAGAAACATGTTAGAACATGTTGGAGCATGTAACACAAACAAACTTCATGTAATCTTTCCACCATGGCTTTAGGACCCATCCTATTTCATTCTATCGCACTCTCATCAAAATAGAAAAAGACACCACGAGTCCTAAAAGCCACATTAGAATCTCTATAACAGCATCTAGACAATACTGAAAGGATTGCTGGTTGGTTCCGCTATTAACAGTCGATTGACGCTATTGTTAACTAGCGACAGCCAATGGCAGGATAATTCTGCAAAAAAGCGTGGCTTTCATTGGCTGTTAGTATTTAACGATAGTGACAACTCGATAAAATATTTAGAGAATCTCGCAACAGCAGTATAAATTAGCATACACGTTATATAGATATATCATTACAAAATATCATATATATTGACACGCTGTCAGACATATTTTGCTCACTTGTACAATTTTATTTTACTCTCTTTTATCTTAGATTATTTAAATAGTTTGAATTCAACTTTATTGTCGCGTATAAGAGCAAGCAGTTATTTGAATTGCGCGGCAAATGCGGTGATATATTTTTGGTTTTGACTGTTAATGGCAGACGGGCATGCGTGCGAATGCAATGTCCAGATTCTGTTATAGAGACTCAACTCCATATAAACTATTCATTTCCGGCTTTAAAGGTACCATTTCATGCGATGCTAAAACGCTTAATACTCGTTTCATTTGTTCACTTTATGTAATTTTATCTATGGTTGACGCTAAAAAGTTCGTTTCCATCCAACTTTCTAGCGGGTCCATTCTTGTAATATAAAATTTTGTACATTTTTAATTGGAAATCATCACTCGTATTTGACACATTTATTGGACACGTTTTAACAAAATTCGAATTTTGTTATGTTAGTTGATGCTCTTAGTTATATTTATTTCTAATGCTTGTTTTTAGACTCCTGTCATATTTTAACGTTCAATTTGAAATGATACATCATGTTGTACACCCAAGGACTTCGATTCTTTCCCTCAGTTATTTTTTTAAAACTTCCAAAAATTTAGGTTATTTCGTCCTTACGTCAAATTTAGTTGTAAATGAATGTAAGATTTAGTTAATCGTGCACGAATTATAATATGAGCATATTAATGTAAAAAAGTGGTCATTTTTCAGTTTGTTTCGAGGGAAAAAATCGAAGTTCTTAAGTGTATACGCACCGGTAGGAATGGTGGCGTTCAGCGCGCGGCGCTATGCACTCGTACCAAAGCGCATATATATGTGTTACTGCATTCTAGTACGAGCTCTTGTGCTGTGTCTTATATAATCTGTGTGCGGATGTCCTTCCCATTCTGCCGAGACTGCGCTTTTATGCTGCGTATCGCGTGTTACATGATATCGTACTTCGCGTATTCTCTGTGATTTTAAAGACAATTATGCTTTTCTTGTCGCTTTATTCTTATATTCTTATATTTTAGTGGCTTTCGCTTCTGTTCATCGGAGCTTGTATGCGTACAGATGAAAACCATCCCATTGTCCCCTCGATCCTGGGAGTATGGGGAATCCTCTGTGTCGTGCTTCAGTATCGCTTCTGATCTGGCAGCGTTCTTGAAAACGACAGACCCTAATATAGCGGACATTATCTCTAGTGATGTCAGTGAAAAACATGCAGGCACTAATGAGCCTACTGAGTTGTGAGCAACGTTATTTCGTCCTTGACTCTAGTATGATTTCTCGCAAGAACAAAGGTAAGAAGAACAAATCTTCTCCTCAGCCCCGCTCGCCCCCTTATGTTAATTCGAACATAAATACGGCCCGCCTCGAATATTCGTAAAGGCATAGCTATCTCCTGATCGCATTCTCTGGAATCCCTTTGCATTAAAAATTATATATCATGGGTGCTTGTTGATAAATGCCCTCATACCCCATGCTCTTTTGCTGATCCATCTACTAATCGCTTTGCTTTATTAACGGATAATTCCTCTTAACTCAAGTCAAGTCCTCATTTAGAAACAATGGAGATTGAATAATGGAGATTATCACCTCTGATAAAACCAATGTCTCTCTCTGGCGAAAATACGGAATTTTATAAAACATTGACAACGTTCGATGATGATTTTTTAAGCGTTTATACGTTTTCAAATTTTATAAAAACGCTTACAGAACACCATTAGGGTTTGAAACACTTTCAGAACGCTTATGAATACAGTATACCAGGCGTATAAGCTTAAATTCGCTGTTTTTTAGTCAGAAAAACACTTTTTTTTTTTCTTAGGAAGCAAAAACAAATTTATTCAAAGTACTTGCCCTCGCTAACTATACATTTTTCCCACTTTTCGGACAATTTGTGTATACCACGCCAAAAAAATTCCTTCGAGACAAACCACTCATCAAGCCATTTTCGGACGTCTTCGTAAGAATCGAAGTGCCGCTCAGCGAGCGCGTGGTCCATCGACAAAAACAGATGATAGTCAGAAGGTACCTCTGATGAGTAAATGGGATGGGGTAGCACCTCTCAGTTGAGTGTCTCCAAATAGTTTTGGACCATTGTTGACGTGTGCGATGGTGCATTGTCGTGGAGGAAAATCAACTTGTCATGTCTTTTCCGATAATGCGGCCTTTTTTCATACAGAGTACGGTGCAATTTGATCAGTTATTGGTGGCGGTGAGCGTTAACAGTTTCATCAGTTTTAACAGCTCATAGTAGATGACATCCTCCTGATCCCACCAAAAGCACAGCATCGTCTTCCGTCCGAAGCGATTTGGTCTTGAGGAAGATATTGATTGGACGGGATCAACCCAAAATTTCTTGCGTTTAGGATTCTGAAAATAGATCCACTTTTCATCGCCTGTCACAATCCGATGCAGGAACGACTTTCTTTTTTATCTGGCAAGCAGATTTGGCACGTGTTTTAGTGTCGCTCCATCTGCCTATCGTGCAGCACCCATTTTCCGATCTTTTGAACCTTCCTCATGGCATGTAGCCGCATGGAAATGGCTGCTTGAGAAACACCCAATTGCTCGGCAAGCATTTTTTGCGATTGGGTATCGTCCTCGTCCAAAAGAGTCTACAATTGACAATCCTCAACTTTCCTGGGCCGATTTTCACGTTTCTTGTTACTCAAGTCAAAATTGTCATTGAACCTGCGAAACCAATCTATGCACGTTGTTTCCGATAAAGCATTGTTGCCATAGGCCTCCACAAGCATTCGATGCGAAATCGGCAGCCGATTTTCTTCAAATTGAAACAGAAAAGCAAAGCTTCCCGTATATGCTTTTTTTTTTAGCAAAAAACTAGACATGATTACGAAAGAAAAATGTATGTTGTTATATGAAATTGCTGATGTGCACTGGTTAATGTTGACAGATGTCAAACAAAAAAAAGTGTGTTGTGTGCCCAGGGCTTTGTACACTAATGCTACCTATGAGCAAACAGCGGATTTAAGCTTATATACCAGGTACTCTTTCCTCTTTGCTCCTAATGTAGATCTTCCCATCTCGACTGATTGAGGGCTCTCCATGGCCCTTTCACACCTCCTGATTCCCTGTCCCAGATCCCCCTTATTTCTCCCTATTATTCCCCCTACTCCCTATCCTTACAATCCATCCCTACCTCACACTCCCCCCCGTCGCCGACCCCCACCTAAATTCATTTCTCCCCTCAATTTTTTTCTTCCAACCTCGCTCAATTGATCCACAGTCAGATGAGACTTTTATTAGCGCGTTAACTTCTCTCATTAACCACTTTTCGGGTATAATTACCTCATCGTTAAGAGACACACAAATTCAAGCGTATATATACCCTCCGTAAGAGATTCTTCGGGATTTTCCTATCAGCTGTACCATAATGACGATCACAGCCTCAATTAACAACACCGTCTCTACAGGACTGGAAGGTCGCGGTGGCTTAAGCAATAAAAATGATATCGAGAAAATAGCGGAAGCTATTTTTAAAATCATTCTTTGTGAAACGTATCCTCCTACCTGAATTTCATATAGGTTTTGGCTGGGTTTTGACTGTATGCTGACATCTCTCTCGCGATTCGCGATATGACCATTTATTATTAATTAAAAATCCTATTATATATTTCATTCTCGATTTTTCAAGTAAATTCCTTCTATCGAAGCTGTTGGCATACAGCTTTGATTAAACTCTATTACTCTTAACATTGTGTAAACTTAACATGTATCACTCGAATTCCTTAACCTCTCCAGTCTCGACAATCTTATTGCTTTCATGGCAAGCCAAGATTTAACTCTCTTAATGGATGCTCTTAACCACACATCACTCCTTGTGAAGCATCCCTCGACCAAACAGGGAGAGTCGCATCATAAGCGAGACGGTCGATTGATATACTTGCGTTATACTTAATCCTAGTCTACTTTTTATTCTCATCCTACTAGAACTCCCTCTATTGAGTTAGCGATCGCCTCGGCCTCCTTTGCGTCATTATGCGAATGTGCTGTATTCGAGGAGACGCGTGGCAGCGATCATCATACAAATCGATTGTCATGTCAAATACGCATCTTATTTCTCTAATAAACTTAGGTTTATCAAAAATCAATAAAACCAGGCATGTATTGAAATCTCAAAAGCTTCTTCTCATTGTTAAATCCGTTATGAGTCTCCCTGTCAACGATCCCATTTCTCAATATAACCAATTTTACTCGGATGTATTTGATTTTCTCTTCATCCCCTTCACATTCTCACGCCTCAGACACTAACACTCGTAACATATCCTCTAAGTGTTCCCCGCTTCCCGCCTCTTGGTGGATTCCGAGTGCACTCGGGCAATTCATCGTCGTTCGGAGTTTTGCAAAGAGTATCAGTCCCGACCTTGGAAAATTATGAACTTTATCCGCCCAACCATCAACATCTTCCTCAAGACCAAATCGCTTCGGAAGACGATGCTGTGCGTTGATCAGGAGAGTGTCATCTACTACGAGCTGTTAAAACCTGGTGAAACTGTTAATGCTCACCGCTACCACCAACAACTGATCAAATTGCATCGTGCTCTGCATAAAAAAAGGCCGCATTATCGGAAAAAACATGACAAGCTGATTTTCCTCCACGACAACGCACCATCGCACACGTCAACAATGGTCCAAAACTACTTGGAGATACTCAACTGGGAAATGCTACCCCATCCCGCTTACTCATCTGGCACCTTCTGACTATCACCTGTTTTCGTCGATGGGCCACGCGCTCGCTGAGTTCACTTCGATTCTTATTATACGAAGACGTCCGAAAATGGCTTGAGTGGTTTGCCTCGAAAGATGAGGAATTTTGGTATACACAAATTGCCCGAAAGATGGGAAAAATGTATAGTTAGCGAGGGCAAGTACTTCGAATAAATTTGTTTTTGCTTTCTAGGAAAAAAAAATGTGTTTTTCTGACTAAAAAACCGCGAATTTAAGCTTATACACTTATAAGAACGAGGTGCGTGAATGTCGTAAGAGTCTTAGAAAAGCTAACGACAGGCCTGAGTTTTGCCAATCACTGGATGGCAGGACCCCGACAGCGGATGTCTGGCATATGCTCAAACGGTTCCGCAACCGTAAATTACCTAATACCTAGTACTAAAAATCGCGACAATAATTCTATGATAATCCGGTCACCATTCTCGAAGTCACTGACAAAATCTGTCCTTCTTGCTCACCTCCACTTTCTAACTTATCGACTGACTTTGAGATTAATTCCTTATTCATGAATTCCCCTTTCGAACTTAGTGAATTTCGAGCTGTCCTTGCCTCTGTTAGATCTTCCAATCCTGATTTGGATCGTATAGATTACAAAATCCTGAAAACGCGTCTGAGCTTCTTCAATGTCTCTTGTATATTATTAATAATCTCTTCCGCTACTACCTCTTCCTCCTTCAATGGCTACACTCGTTAATACACCTTATTAATAAGCTTCATGGAAAGATGTGCGTCCCATCTCCTCCATCTCCTGCTTTCTTAAAATTCTTGAAAAATTAATCCTTAATCGCCTTTACTGGATAATAGAATCTTCCAACTACCCCATTCTTTCTAACTTTCAGTTTAGTTTCAGAAAGTTTCGGTCATGTCAGGATAACCTCTCTATCTTAACAACTGCAATTCATGAAGGCCTTGAATTCGCCAACTGTGCAGTTTTTGTCGACATCAAATCTGCATTTGATAATTTTGCCCCACATCCTAGTGAACGATTTACTGGAACTTCAATTTCCCTCTAAAAATTGTTAAATTTATCAAGAATCTCATTTCTTTAGACAAGTTAATTTGTCATCCATGGGCTCTCACGATACTGAAAACCTCTCACAAGGATTCTCACCAAGGGTCGGTCCTTAGCCCCACATTTTTTAATATCTATCTTCGTAAACTGGAAGATCCATCCTCAAATCAACACACGCTCTACTCTCCAATCGATCGAGAGCTCGCTGAATCATATCACCGAACATTTACAAGACCAAGGGCTTGACGTTTCACCGTCCAAAACGCAAATGATGGTATTCTTCAAACGCCGTGCTCCTCCCCTCCCCGAGCATAATGGCATATAGTGTCGGGTATCTGTGTTAGGACCCACATCCTTTTCCCAACCCATCGCATCCTCAGTATTACTTTGGACTCCGGCCTCACTGGCCGTCCTCACCTTGAGAATACAGCTATCAAAGTCAAAAACACTATAAGTTTTGTCCGCAATTAGGAATACATGGGGGGCTCATCCCTAGCTTCTTGGGATCTATTGTTCTATGCTTAGAGCCTTCAT